CTGTCTTGAACTCCCTGCCCCATCCCCACCAAAAAACAAAAAACAAAAAACAAAAAAAAAAAACAAAAAAAAAAAAACACAACTGAAAAATACCCCACCAAAATACAAAGCTCTAAAGAACAAAGCAAAACAAAAACAAATCAAAAATAGAAAATAGTATGTCAGGGATGGTAGCTAATGTCTGTAATCTATTTGATAGGCCGAGCCAGGAGGATCTCAAGTTTGAGGTCAGCCTGAACTTCATAATGAATTCCACTCCAACCTGGACTACAATGAGACCCTGTCTTTAAAAAAAAAAAAAAAGTAGTATCTAAAAACCATTTATAATCAGGGGACAATCCAAAAGATGACATACCTTCTTCCCTGATAGAAGATTTAGTATATCAACTCACCCTATTTCTCAAGTTAACATAAAAATATAATACAACTCAAAGAATGAGAACAAAAATTATTGATTAGAAACGATTTGGTCAGACAACATGCAGACAGACAGACAGATGACTGCAGATCTTCACTGCTAAGCCTGTCCCTTTTCCTGAGTTCTCACTCAGAGTTTATCTTCTTTTCTCTTTCTTTGGATACTGGCCAGAGCCTGTGACCATGCTTTCCCAGACACACTGGACCTCCTGTTTCTATGAAGAACATACCCCCACACCCCACTTTTCTACAGATGCTGGCCCGACTCAAAAGGAGTGTTCCCCTTCTCTGTGTCCCTCTGGGACTTACAGCTTGCCTACTCATACTTTTTTCTCTCAAACTCTACTAAAATGGTCAAACTTCAAAAAGAAAGAAAGAAAGAAATCCTAGACAACATAAAATGTCCTATTCTGAAGCCAGGTAAGTCTGCAGTTTTTCTTAGGGAAGTACAGTCTGAATATCATTTTTTTTCTTTTCTTTTTTTTTTTTTTAGAGACAGGGTTTCTCTGTGTAGCTTTGCTCCTTTCCTGGAACTCACTTGGTAGTCCAGGCTGGCCTTGAACTCACAGAGATCTGCCTGGCTCTGCCTCCCGAGTGCTGGGATTAAAGGCATGCGGCACCACCGCCCGGCCTGAATATCATATTTTGAAGGTCTTTAACCAGTGGGGGGTGGCACACATTTTTAATCCCAGCAGAGGAGGCAGAGGCAGATCTCTGTGAGTTCGAGGCCAGCCTGGATCTACAAAAGCAAGTTCTAGGACAGTCAGAGCTATTATACAGAGAAATTCTGTGGGGGTGGGGGATGGGCAGCAGGGGAGATTTCCTTCCTGTGAACTCAGCATTGGTCAGGATATAAGGAATACTTCACAGTAATCAGGCTCACAGAACCCTAGTATTAACCTGCCACCAAGTGTAAACCTTTTTCTAATGTTTCACATCTGTTGGTGGCTCTCAGGAAGACCTGAAAAGCAGAATACAGGTTTGTTTGTGGTATTGGAATCAGAGAAAAAAAGTAGAGATCACTTATTTCACCCCAGTTACATTAAGGCTTAGTGACTGGTTTCTAGCCGAGAGTATTTGTTCCTGTTTCCCAAATATAATGTCTATCCTTTATGGACAATTCTGAGAGCCAGCAAATTCTTACTTTCTTCACATCCTTTTTCCAAACCATAAGCCTATTACTCCTTACTTGTTAAAACAAATCCTGTAGAGTTATTTGTTTGTTAAGACAAGGTGTATTAAATTTTTTGTTTGTTTGGTTTTTTGAGACAGGGTTCTGTGTAGCTTTGCGCCTTTCCTGGAACTCACTTTGTAGACTAGGCTGGCCTCAAACTCACAGAGATCAGCCTGCCTCTGCCTCCCGAGTGCTGGGATTAAAGGCATGGGCCACAGCTGCCGGGTTTATTAAATTTTATTATCAACTTGATATAAACTAGAATTACCTCAATTGTGGAATTGTTTCTATCAGATTGGCCTGTAGTCATGTCTGAGAGGAATTAACTTGATTGATGATTGATCTGGGAGGGCTAGGCCCACTGTGAGCCTGGGTTGTATAAGAAAGCTAGCATTGTGGCCCACGTCTTAATCCCAGCACTTGGGAGGCAGAGGCAGGAGAATCTCTGTGAGTTCAAGGCCAGCCTGGACTACAGAGCGAGATCCAGGACAGCCTCCAAATCTACAGAGAAACCCTGTCTCGAAAAAACAAACAACAACAACAACAAAAAAAAAAGGAAAGAAAAAAGAAGATCATGAGCCTGAGAACAAAGCCAGTAAGCAAGCAAAGATCGTCCACGGTTTCTGCTTCAGTTCCTGCCCTGATTTCCTTCAATGGTGGCCCGTGACCTGGAAGTATAAAATGAATTAAACAGTTCCTCTCCTAAATTGCTTTTGGTCACGATATCACAGCAATGGAAAGCAAACTAGAACCGGGGTGTCTTGTAGCCCAGTGAGGCCGCACATTCCCCTTTGTAGCTGTGTGGATGTCCTTGAATGTTTTCTTTTTGAGATAGGGTCTAATTGTGTCTGTCCTGGAACTAGCTGTGTAGGCCAGGCTGGGCCAGAACTCAGAGATCCTTTTGCATCGGCCTCCTGAGTGCTGGGCTTAAAGGTCTCAGGCACCACACTTGGCTGTCCCCAATTGACAATCTCCCACTTCCATCCCACAAATGCTGGGATTAGGGGCTGTGGCACCTTGCCCAATTTGAGGAGATGAGCATCCAGGCCTCATGCAAGCAAGCAAGTTACTACATAACTGATTCTCTCTCTCTCTCTGAGATAGAGTTTCTCTGTGTAGCCCTAGCTGTCCTACAACTCACTCTGTAGACCAGGTTGGTCTCAAACTTGGAGAGCCACTGGCCTCTGCCTCCCTAGGCAAGGGCCACCCCCGAATCCATTTGTAATCTTTCACAGGGAGAGATAGACAATTACAGAGGAGTTTGTTATGCAGAACGTTAAAAAGACGATTTGTTGCAGGAAAAGAAGGCTTGTCAAATTGTGTTTTTCTTTCCTCTAGTAATTTTATTTAAATAGAGATCTGCAGGGTTTTGTGTGTGTGTGTGTGTGTGTGTGTGTGTTTTGAGACAGGGTCTCACTGTCTCAATCCCAGCACTTAACCTGCCACCAAGTTGTAAACCTTTTTCTAATGTTTCAAATCTGTTGGTGGCTCTCAGGAGAACCTGAAAAGCAGAATACAGGTTTGTTTGTGGCTGCCCTGGACCTCCATGTAGGTCAGAGACCCACCTGCTCTGCCTTCAGAGTGGGCCAGAGGTGTGCCATACCACGTCTAGCAAATCCATGCATAGATTATTGATTTACGGGTGTTGGGGAGATCATCTAACCCTAGGTTCACTTTTATTTGAAAAACTATCAAGTCCAAATAATTTCAAACCCCTTGGCCAGGCAGAGAAAGGCCTCGATTTCCATTTCATTCATGTGCTTCACAATAAAACAGGAAGCGTGTCATTTAAAAAAGACACAAATCGCTCGCCAACAGGTAGCCTCTCTGGCCAGAAAGCCTTTTTTAGAAACTTGGGCAATCGCTCCATTCTGTACCCTAACAAATGACTCTGTTCCTTCCCCTCGGATGGATAAAGTCCTAATTCTTTACATCTCGGAGTGGCCTAAAGGGAACATCTCATTAAAGTCAGCCGCGTTTTCCCGCCCGTGCGACGTGCCGGGTTGAGGAACGTCAGTGCCGCAGGGCTGGCAGCCTGGGCCTCCCAAGGAGGAAGCGGAGTCGCCCTTTCCACACCTCGGGCCGCGGCCCTCGGACTCCCGCGAGGGAGGCGAAGGGATCGGAGGGCTTGCTGGCCGCCTTAAGTCGCAAGACAGAGAGAGAAGCGTGGTTTTCCTTCAGGCACTGGAGCAGGGCGACCTCGGCAACGGGGGCCCCCGGAGCGCGCTCTCGGGGCAGGGGCGGGAGGCGCCAAAAGAAAGGGAAAGGCCTTCCTCGGGGCTGACGCGCGGTCACGCGGCTCCCTCCCCGACGTGGGCGCTTGCCATTGGCCGAGCGGCCGCTGACGTGCCGTCCTTGCCCGGCGCGAACCGCGGCGAGAGCGGCGCCGCGTTGGAAGTTGGCGGGGCG